CTACGGCCGGCCCGCGGGCCGCGTTTCAGGATAAACAGCTTATCCTGAAACGCACAAGTTGCCCCAAACGGACCCGTTGGAGCATCCGAGCAACGGCGGAATGAATTCGTGAGATCTAACTGAGAGTAGGATTTGATAAATCTGAATTTAGGTGAGAGTTGGTTTTAAAGGTTACATATATAAATACATAAAAATTTGGTGGTATGTCCGTAAACAATAAGCACCCTTTTAAAAAATCAATAAAGAAAAAATTGGAATGATCTACGCTTAACAAATGAAACATATAAATGCATACAAGGACAGAGGACCCCTTCCCTTATTTTTTTACAACCATCTATCCAATCTATCTAATTAACAAACTAACCCTAAAAACTCAAATCCCAGAGCATGACTGCAATGAAATGAACGGTCGAGATGAAGATATCTAAATTTTGTCCAGCTTCTCCGCCTTGATCACAGGATTGCAGCGAGCAATGGCTTCGCGGCTGGCCGACTTGAAATCAAAGCAGCAGCCGTGCTGCTCCGGGTACCGGTGCTCTCCGCAGTGCGTTACCCCGCACCGACACTTGAACCCAAGGAGCCCCACCTTCTTCCGGCACGCCGCACACCGCCGCGGCGGGGGGGGCGCGCCCCTGCCTCAATCGCCGGCTTCGGTGCGGCCGCCGACGCGGCTGATGGAGTCGACGAGGAACAGAATACAGTTGATGATGAAGAGGAGGCCGCAAGAATGGATTTTTCGACAGCGAGCAGAGCGTCCTGGGTTTTAAGATGGTCTCCGTAACACTTAGAGCAGAGATTGAGAGTAGCAGGGCTACCGAAGAATCCGCAATTGTTTGCACAGCGCATGCCTTCTTGGCATCTCCGTCCCTGCGGGCATAGCTGATCCTCCGCCATCGCTTCGAGATTATTTGAATTTAACCTGATGAATCAGAAAAAAATATAAACTTTATTGAAGATTGCTTGTCAAGAACACTAATTGGAAGGTAAAACTTGAAGCGACGATAGATCTTACTGCGTGCGACGATTCGGAGAGGGGGATGGAGATATGAGAGTGAATCGGACTCCAGACTTCACAGGCACTGAAGAAAAGGAGAAGGGGTCAGCGCTGGATCCGACCTGGAAAATAAGTTATCCAGGCTGGAAATAGGAGGGAGAGAGCAGGTGGTTTAATGAGGATAAGTTTTACAGCTGTGGAGTTATGATTCACTTTTCATTTTAGAAGAATAATATATTTATCCGAATATTTTAATTAATTAGCAATAAAATAAAATATAGTTTTTATGGATTATAAATGAATTTAATGTCATAATATGATATGTATAACTTTCATATACATTTAATATACATCATGGTAAAACTATTATGTACTAGTGGAAAAATTATTTCATGGGAATCGTACACTGCACACGGCTTGCGTGCAGTGTCTGATCCGGACTGTAAATCACCTCATCTAAGGTCAGAATGTATTTCGATGGGCCCTATCAATTTTTTTTTTAAAAAAAAATAATCCTGACCGTAGATAACCGTGATCTACGGTCAGGATCAATCATTTAAAAAAAATTAATAAAAGTGATACATTTTATTAAATGCTTCCAGTGTGTGTTCTCTGTCACAGACATATATCAATCATTTAAAAAAAAATTAATAAAAGTGAGATTCATTGTCATACAGGCTTGGGTTGATGTGCGACTGTGATCGTGGGTTGATGTGCGATTGTGATCGAAAAACACACGCAGCTCTGTACGCAATAACTTTTCATACATTATGAATGATTATTTAGAAAAAAAAGAATATCTGTATGTATTTATAAAGTAACAATTATGTTTAAAAACACTTAAATATTTTTCATTTAAGTGCGCGCAATCGTATTATTTGGAATCTGAGAAGGGACAAAAATATAAATATAATAATAAATTTTATTAAATGCTTAAGAATCAAAGTAGGAAGTTGTTGGGTTTATAAAAGAGTTAGATTTCAATCTTGCAATAAAAATTGTTAACATATTTCAATGCCAAAAATTAAGAGTTAAATCAATCTTTAGCGAGAATTATACATTAAAAAAGGGGCATTTACGTTCTATTAATTTTTATAGATCGCGTATCTTAACTTCCTTATATTACATGGACAGCCCTCAAATATTTAATATCCCATTAAAATAATATTATTATAATTTTTTTTAATGTAAAATGTATATTTTTAGGCATAAATTTGAAGCACGAAAATGTTATGGATGTAAATATAAGTATAACAAAATTATG